TGTAAAATGTTCCGAAGGTTACTTTTCTGTTTTCCTCTTATATTCTCAACCGTTGCCAGGATTGGGTCCTTTCTGCTCCATCACTGTAATGCACCTTGTATGCGCGAAGCTAATCTTTAAGAGAGAGCTAGTGTCGGCTGGCGGGACAGCGTATTTCTGACTGTCTGACTGTCGGCTCACTTGACCGCAGTGCAGTAACATATCTATAGGTTAACGCCATCTGTTCTCGGCTTTTGAAACAGAAAATCCACCTAATCTTATGCTTAAGATTTACAAAGTTTCCCTCATCCCACTTTCTGCTTACGCTTACTCATCGTTGGTAAAATGGCAGAGTGCACAGTGTATAACAAGAAAATAAAGAAACTAAATAATACTGCTGTTGAATGACTTCCGTTGTGGTTTTATATTTCCGTTGTGGCTTTTGTATTTGTGTTGTGGCTCTTGTATTTGTATTGTGGCTTTTGTATTTGTGTTGTGGCTTTTGTATTTGTGTTGTGGCTCTTGTATTTGTGTTGCGGCTTTTGTATTTGACCTGACACCTCTGGGCCACCGTAAGGTGCGCTCTGTAGTCAGGAATTTACTGTAATACATAATCTATGTCACTTAATGATTAGAAAGGATTTTTATTATTGGTAAAAGGCATCCACTATCATACAAAACCTTCCAAAATAACACATGCTCAATTGAAATAAAAAAAGAAATAAAAGAAAGGTTTAAATACATGTCTTTTAGTTTTAACCATGTTGATGTTACATCACCGTTTTTAATGTGTGGTGTTCCAAAGATATCCCCCTGCTCTCTAAAACAATGCTATTTCTTGAATCGGTTGGCTGAGGTAGGCCTTATAGTGTCAAGACCACCTGGCAGGTAGAAAAAAGGAGCCTTGTTATCCCCAAAAGTTCCCATTCTGTCTCAGTGATTAGAGAAAGCCACAAGTCCACACCAGAAGCGCTGGATGCCCCACTTGCTGCTAGTTGGCTGATTGGCGTGCAACTCGAAAAGCTACTCTCTCACATGGTGCCTTGACTGAATCTGAATCAGACGCTGATTAGATCAAATTGCAGAGAAAAACCTGTGTACCCCTGTGTGCCCACCTTTTTATATCGCCTCAGTGCCAGCAGTTAAATTGGACATTTTGAGGCAGAGAAGCGATGCATTTGATTATACGCTGGGTTCTCTACCTGACTGTCATGTCTGGAGGAGCTGAAACTTCCTACAATCGCCACCAATTTGATTTTTCTTGGTAAGAGAAAACAGAAATATTATTCTTGTTCTTTGTCTTGGGCTTTGTTTTAATTCTCTGTTTAACATGTATTGAGATCCATACAGCTTCACTAGCACAGAAAAGTGCAACTGACAAACCTAGGATGGCTAGTCTTGTTAACGGTAACATGACAAAACAAGCATCAAGGTTCTTCGTGTTATCATTTATCTGTCAGGATGGAAGCTGGATTTGATACAAAAAAAGAGCAAACATATTTTAATAGACTCAAAATATTAATGGACATAAGAGAAAATGAAAAGAGAGATGGATAGAGGCCAGGAAAGGGTATAGTGAAAATGTCCCCTCTAATTGTTTTATCACGGGGGCAGCTCATTATTAGAACAGGGACAGGAGGGAAATGAATGACATAAATGGATGCTATGGCTGACAGCTGTGCCAAGATGAAGAGCCGTCTCCTTGAAACAGAAGCAGAGATCACAGAAGTGCGTGTGTGTGTGTTTCTATGTGTGTGTAAAGTCTAGTACAATTCTGGACTCCTTTTCGTATCAATACAACATTTTTCTTTCTCCATAATTCAATGACGAACTGATTTACTTCTAAAACACCAACATGACTATGTACATTAAACTAACTACTGTAGTTTAGCAGTTTTTCTAAATCTAATAAAAACTAAAAACAGAAGTTTCATACCTCAACATTTTTTTCTGAGGATTAAAATACTGGTCATCTTTGACAAGAAACCTAAACTGAAAAAGAAATTGGGTCATTTAATTTAACCACAAAAGTTGATAAACTATTTCTTTTCAAAAGGTCATGAAAGTCTTTGTCACCTCTAGACAAAAGAAAAAAAAGCTTTGATCCCTGAAACAACTGACAGGCTGGTCAAAGAGAACTTTAATCAGAGTTAGAGAAGCAACCAATAGACTCAAGGTAATTCTGGACCTCCTATCTGAGCTGCAGAGATCCACAGCTCAGGTTGGAGAGTCTGTTCACAGGACACCTATGGCCATGCACTCTACAAATCTGGTCTTTATGGAAGAGTAGCAAAATTGCTAAAATCCAATTTAGAATTCTGCGGGAAGACTTGAAAACTGACACAGATGCTCTCCATCCATTTCATAATTCACCAGTCCAACTTACAATCATACACCACTTTGTGTTGGTCTAGCATATAAAACCCTAATAAACCCACTGAATACACTGACCAAATGGAATGTTCTAAGGGTATGAATACTTTTGGAAGGCACCATATTTTGTCTAAGCATGATCATAACATTGCATGTTATTATGCATAAAACTGGAGGGGAAGAAAAGAGACAGGGGTAGAGGTAATGGGTGTTGTTTATTTGCTTTTGAGTGACCTAATGATCATGTGGATTTATGTAAAGCTCAGATGGAAAATGGAAAAGAGGCACGAGGATGGAGAATATCATTTGGAATAAAATGGAGGGTAGAATATGAATTGCATAATGAGGGGATAACAACATCAAGTGGAGAGGCATCATAACTGGAGATATAAATCAATAACTTTGACATTATGTTTTGAAGAACATTGAGTGTCAAAGAAGGAATCATTTCCTTCATACGTACTCAGGGGAGAAGATTGGATCTTTTGTGTGTGATAATGTGTGTGTGTTAGGGAGGTACTAAGAGAGTCACATAAATGAGTGGCAGTATCTCTCCCCAGAGGACCAGCAGTGATGATGAGGAGAAGAGGTACCATTGGAGTCTAGTCGACCAGGGAATGATGGGACTCGCTCCAACAGCATCTCTTTTTCTCTTGGCGGGTAAAAAATAAAAGTCAACAGGAGAAGGCCTCGGTGCGCGGGTGCTGGCATGATAGCCTTCATCAGTTATGACTAAATTGAACTGTCAGTTGCTTGGTGTCATTTCCATGGCTGGATGAGGGGCAGAGGCAGAGGCAGAGAGAATTATGGGGGTATTCACCAGGTGATCACAGTGTGCAGCGAGACTGTTCCGCCAAATTAACTCCCGACAGAGATGGGGAACACAACGTTAGGCTGTCAGAGAGATAGAAGGATGGGAGGATAAACAGGCAGAGGGAAGCATAGAAAACTGTTGTAGTGGGTTTTTAAGAGGACTCTTTTTTTCTTTTTGCAAAGTTATGGCAATAAAACACATTTTGTAGACTGATGAACATCATGAAGCTCAAGATAGGACCCCAAATGTAGTTTATATTTTAGTATAAGAGGACCAATGTCAAGGAGGACAGACTTCGGAATTCATGAAGCTGTGTTCCTCCAAAGCTGACTGTTTGTCATTTAAGACATATCCTAAGCAAAGTGCAAATAAAGGAATTGGATAATTTTACAACCTTTAAAATTAGACTTCATGCGCATTGCCTTGGGAAAATTGTTCATAACCCTAGATTTATCCACATTTTATCATATTACAACCACAAACGTCAATGTACTTTTGGGTATTTCATTCGATAGACCAGCATAAAGCAGTGCATAACTGTGAAGTGGAAGGAGTACAATAAATGGTTTTCCAAGCCTTTACAAATGAGAAGTTGAAAAGTGTGGTGTGCATTTGCAGTCAGCCCCCAAGTGTTCTTGGGTAAATCTCCACTAGCTTTACAGACTATCCCTCTTTGCAAAACACCTCAAGCTCAATCAGACTGGACATAGAGCATCTGAAAGGGATTATTCATAGCTTGGCCTGTATTAATGAATTAATTCGATTTAGGTCTGGACTTTAACTAGCCTGCATTTAACTCCACCAATCTTCCCATTACATTTGACCAGCTTCACTCTTCCTCCGGAAGAAAAGCATTCCCACAGCTGCCACCATCATGTTTTAATAATATGGATAGTGTCCCCAGCGTGATTAGAACATCATATGCTAATCTTATCTGCTTAAATATTAGCTAGTTACAGACAGCCCCATTATTATGTCAAGTGTTTCTGAGTTCTGCTGTCCAGATGTGATTCCCCAGTACAGAGTTGGTACGGAGTCCGCACTGTACAACACTCCCTTCTACTGTGGGTACAAATGACCACAGAAAAATATTCATTAGCAGACAGCTCCATCAGCACTATATATTAAAGCGGGAAAACGGCCAGCGCTGGGAACACAAAAATCGAACAGCGCTACTGCTAAAACATTCTTACAGACCAGTTAATTGTCTACACTGTAAAAAACTATATATTTTAAAATAATATTTTATTTGGTTGTCATTTACTTTTGAAAATGTCTGTGTATCAGCAACAAATTTGCAGACAAGTGGATGCACACAGATACACAGACAAGACAAGTAATGTTAACACTAGCAAAAATTATAAAATTACAAAACAGAATAGAATTTATACAGTCATTTTCAATCAATTATAATATGAGTTCTGATGAGGCTCATTTGTCAGAATAAAAAAAATTGAAAATAACCTTAAAGCAGGTATTAAAAATAATTTTCATTAAGCCCACATTTCATTATTTTTATTGGTCTGATGTAATATTCTAGTATTAAACGTTGTGTTTTCATTGGCTGTAAGCAGAAAATTTTCACCCAATCATCGTCTACATATGCTTATCTTTTCATGGTCGTGGGGGGGGGCTGATGTCTATCTCCAGCAGTCATTGGCCTAGAGATGGGGTACATCCTGGGCAGGTCGCCAGTCCATTACAGAGAAACAAAGAGACACACAGCACAACTATAAGGGCAATATAGGCCAGTTTACCTAATAGTTATGTTTTGGACATTTTGGAGGAACCCACCGGAGCACCCAGAGAGAATCCACGTTTGCACAGAGAGAACATGCAAACTCCCAGACCGGGATTTGAACCCACAACCCAGGACTTCCTTGCTGCAAGGCAACAGTGCTACCAACTGGCACCACTGTGCAGCCTGCACCACTGTAGAGCCTTACAGAAAACTATAATAATAGTTTTCTACTCTTTAGAAAAAGGAACCATCTGCCTTCTAAAAAGGTTGCCGTGGTATTAAAAATGATATTGTGTATTAAGTATTTTTCATAGTATCAACAGAAAAAAAATGCAGACACACCTATATTATTTAAATTTCATTTCAATTCACAAATACTTTGTTAATGCCAAAGGGAAATAAAAGGTTGTTGTAGCTCATATTATACAGGCTTCTTCAAAGAGCCGCTGTAGATGCTGATGGCTGTGTGCAGGAAGGATCTCCTGTCGCGGTCTGTCTAACAGCAGATCTGAAGAAGCATTTTATAAAGAAACCTTATTTGCAAAATGATCTCCAGAGGTTCCAGGAGTCCACAGAACAGAGCCAACCTTCTCTTTAACTTGTTGAGCTTTTTAATTTCCATGGCTCTGATGCTGCTACTCCAGCAGATGATGGCAGAAGAGATCACACTCTCCACAACAGACTCATAGAAGATATGCAGCATCTTGCTGCAAACACCGAAGGTCCTAAGCTTCCTCAAGAAGTACAGTCTGCTCTGTCCTATCTTGGAGACAGCTTCACAGTTGCATCTCCACTCCAGTCTGTTGTCCAGGTGAACACCGAGGTATTAATACTCTTCCACCACCTCCATTTCTTCTCCCATGATAGAAATAGTGTTTGACTTATTCCTGTTTCACTTAAAATCTACAATCATCTCGTTTGTTTTAGTCACGTTAAAGATGAGATGATTGTTTCCACATCATGCCACAAAGTGGTCCGCCAGCTCCCTGTACTCAGCTCCTTGTCCATCTCTGATCCACCCCACAACTGCAGAATTATCAAAGTTTTTCTGCAGATGACAGGAGTCTGTCTTGTATTGGAAGTCTGAGGTGCACAGAGTGAAAAGGAATGGTGAAAGTACAGTCCCCTGTGGTGCTCCTGTGCTGCTGATGAGCTGTTTAGACACACAAGCCTTCAGTCTCACAAACTGTGGTCGGTTTGTCAGGTAGTCTTTGATCCAGGTAATTGTTGAGGCCTCCAAATGAGTCTTCTGAAAATTCTGACAAAGCAAATCAGGCTGAATTGTGTTAAATGCACTGGAGGAATCAAAGAACACAATCCTCACAGTGCTGATGGCTTCATCCAGATGACAGTGGGTTTATTGAAGAAGGTGTATGAGGGCATTTTAAACTCCAACTCCACAGTTTCCTGAAACTTGCTTGTTTGCTTAGCCAGGTGGGCAACAGGAGACTCTCTAGGACCTTCAAGACCTGCAGTCTAAAAACCCTAACTGTTCTTTTCACTTCAGAATTATTTGTGTCTTTGTGTCAGTCTATCACGAAGTCCCAATATAACCAACTGAAATTTGTGGTCAACACATGACAAAAAAATGTGCAAATGTTCACAAGGTTTTGCAAAGCATTGTAAAGAGAAGCTGTAATTTCTGACTGGTGCAAAATTATGTTTCAAATTACTGCCACAAAACAGACTTTATTGTATTTGAGCCTACTTCTACCTTTGCAGATAATGTTTTAGTCTGTAGTACGTGCACTCAGTAACACATTTGCTCCACTCTCTCTATCCTCTTGCTTAAATATTTATAAAGATTCCTATTATTGTATTAACTATTTATTGATTTTTAATTTAAAAGATTTATACCAGGCACTGGGAACTGCAGGGGACAGTGACTTTCACCTATAGACATCCATGGCTGTTTGCTGACTTTTAATGTTAAATCAGTACCAGCTTGCCTCTTGGCATTCAGACACAGAGAGAGTGAGAGAGAGAGAGAGAAAGAGAGAGACAACAATACATAAAAAGACAGAAACAGGGAAAAATGAGCAGAAAGGGCAATCTGGCTCAATATTGCTCCTGGTTAGGTATTGGTGAGCTGTGCTCCATCTCCCTCTGGAGCAGGTCATGCACTGGCAGTTCGGACAGAGCCTCAGCAATGAAAATGTATTGCTCTGCTCCATCTTTTATTGATTTACATCTTAAGGCTCTTTGCATGTGAAGCACTTTTGTATAAAGCTTCAGCTGCGCTGTCAGAGGGTCAAATATAGAGCCCACTACAAACCAGTGAAGAATCTAATGCTGACCTCCAACAGGATTAAAAAATATATATATATATATATATAGAATCCAGTCAATATTTGTCAGTTGTTATGTTAAATATAACAAATTTTAAAAGAAGGACCTTTTATTCATAATCACAGCTGTAATTTTATCATGAGAACTCTGGAATTCAGAAAAGCTTTTTTTCCAAATTCAAAACAAGTGACAAGTGAAGAATGCAGTAAACAAAAATGCAGTCGATCAAGAAAAAAATTAGATTAACAAAAAAATACATGTAAATTGCGTAAAATAATCACAAAAATATTGAGTATAATGTCATTGTTTTCAAGAGTTGGAGCCTTCTAATGCAGATACAAGGGACATATTCATCTTAATTGAGAGGCTCAATCAAAATTCAAGGCCAGAAAGGAAGGAATAAAAGAAGAGTCCTGTTGTGGTCAGCACGAGGAAGGAGGTGTATGTGTGGAATGGCAGGTGGGGGAAAAGGTTCAACGATGGACAAAAAAGAAAGGTGTTGGGAGTGAAATGCAAATCATGCTTTCACATAGTACCTCATGAGTGACAAGGAAACCATTAACGGAGCTGAGTTAGGATTAGGGATTAAGTCTATACATGCGTCGCTATTATGCAAGCTAATTAAGTCTTTTTTTCTAGGAGGCCAGGTCCACTTCAGCAACAAAGCCAGAAAAGAAAGAAGCAGGAAATGGCTCAAGCCGTTTTTGCTTAACTTGCAAATGCCAATCGAAATGGGACAAAGACGTCTTGGTTGAAGGACCTTGTCTGGAATGTGGCTGAAATGTAATAAATGACAAGCAGCTTTGCTTCCTCTGAAGTACTTAGACAATGCAATCAACAGTAAAAATAGAAATTCTAAAACTTTATTGCATCCCACTTAGACAAAATTGTTTTGTTGGAGAGTAACTGCTAGATTATCTTCCTATATAGAGGCCCACAGGTGCTGAGAGCGGTTCTGTTTATAACAAAAAGAATTCAAGCTAACTCTTACTCAACCAGTTGAGCTGCCTCTTGTGCATAGAGGCTAAAACCACAGCAGTAGAAGGCCCTGGTTTGGGTCCCAACTACTGGTCTTCCACATGGTATTACAGCACTTTGCTGACTTTCTGTTGCTTGTCTGCTGTTGAATAATTAGCACAAGTAGGCATGAACTGGTAGCTGGTCTCAAGTTATTCCATGGTTTTAAAATCTTTAACATCCAGTATAAACTATAAACAGCTATAATTGTTTCATCCACAGTCAACTTTCAGATTTTTGATCAATTTTATTTTGTGCAGTTGCATCCACAGCCTCCAAATTGCTATTTGAAGAGATGTAGTTGTTTTGCTCTATTGAAAACTGTATCTCCAGAAGGACCTATTAGTTCTTAATTGAGTTTAATTCAAATGAGGAGGAGGGTCATGTCATTATTCTAACATCTCTGAGGTCTTCACAGGCACAAGCAATAGATCATCTAGACATATGTGATGGTGCTTTGTTCTGCACAGAAAAACAATGGTATAAAATATTTCCATCACACCGCTAACACAGTTAAGAGTCCTTATTATTAAAGGAAAAAAATCTCTGGAGGGATCAGAGTTTGGAGCAAAGTTGCTCCTCTCTAAACCCTTCTTCATCTCTTTTTATGCTCTACTACCCTGGTCTCCCTCATTTTTCTTTTTTACAAGAAATATGGCCAGGTAACTGACCTTTACTGTTATTAAGGTAATGCCTTTTGTTAAAGTTAAGCAAGCATACTTAAAGTCTAGAAAAGTGTGCATATTAAATTATTAAAATATTTGTTGATAATGAGGCTAGGTGAAGTTATTATCGGTAATAGTGCTCTTACCATTACTAGAAAGATATCATATCACCATGAGATTGTTGAAGATCTAATGCCTAGAACTCAATACCACCAGCTGATTTGGTGAATGAGTTGATCGTAGGTCCTTCAGGATAGTTTTCAAACAGATCTGAAAAGCACAGGAACATATTATCACCATTGCACAACTGGCCCAAAATTCAAAAGTTTACATTCTTGGCAGAACTAGAGCATGCTGGTAAGTTGCAGCTGAATCGGCAGATTGATGCAGCTCAACCAATGTAATTCACAGAAACAAGGATTGGGGTGTCAAAACGAACTAAACACAACAGTATTTTGTGAAATTGTAGACTGATATCATCAGCTAGCAGAGTGTTATATTCCACTGATGTGAACATTTTTATTTTGAGTTCTTTTAAATGGCTAAAGTCAGCTAAAATAACCAATGTATTCCTGACTATCTTTTAGCCATCCACCACTCAGAGGACTTATTTGATTTCCAAACAACTTACGGTTTACGACTTATGTTGTTTTAAATAAAAGCAATTAGATTAGGTTAAACATTTTTTTTTGTGTGTCAATATCATGAAACTGGTATTTTTATGCAAGGTTATCATACCAAGAGAACCTCATATTGCCATGCCTAACCACAATACCACAAAAATCATGACTATAAGATCTGCAACATCATAAGTAATTTCAGAGAGGGCAATACAAAAATAATAAAGAAATATGCTGCTTTACCGATTTGCAACAGAAACAATACATTGTTAAATTGTGATTTTATTTGAAAATGGACTGTGTTCCCTTCTCTCACCAAAATCTCTTGATTGCAGCTTCAAAACAATTGTGCGGGCCGCTGCTACAAAGGGAGCCCTATATGAAATCTTTCACACATGTTTGCACAATCACGGCTGACCAGACCACATAAAAGCACTGCACATGCTCTATTTAAAGCTGAAATAAGCAGGAGTAATGTCGACTTGTGGACAAAATGTCAGACAATAAATGATTGAATGTATGCAGCAACAGTAAAACACTACTGAGCCTGGTGCAGATTGACCCCAGAGAGGTCATCTGTGAGTAGCTGC